CCACTCTTTTGAATAAAAACCCAGAGGTGGAATTGCTGGATTATATCGTAGTTCTGTTTTTAAATTTTTGAAGAATCTCCATACTGTTTTCCATAGTGGTTGCACCATTTTACAATCCCACCAACAGTATACAAGGGGTTCAGTTTCAAAGTTATGTGTTTTTATCTTGCATTTATTTGACGACTAATGATGTTGAGTTCTTGTTCATGTTTTTGGCTATTTAGATCTCAGTTTTTATGAGGTAGCTGTTCTGGTCTTTTGCCCATTTTTCCAGAGAGTTCCAGAGTTGCCCATTGTCAGTGAGTTCTTTATAAATTCTAGATTTGAGCTCTTTATTTAAAGGCTATATTTATTGCAAGTCTCTTCTACACTAGGGCTTCTTATTAACTTCTTACTAGTGTCATTTGATTAACAGAAGTTCATATTTTCTAATGTAGTTCAGTCTATCTTTCCTTTACGGTTAGTGTGTGTGTCTCTTGTCTAAGAACTCTAATCTACTTTAAGATCATGAAATATATTTGTTTTCTAGGATAATTTCTTTATCTTTTATACTTAGATCTACAGTCCACTTGGAATTGACATTCATATATGGTATGAACAGGACATCAAATTTCTCTTTTTTTCCCCACAAATATCTAATTAATCCAGCATCATTTACTGAAAAGACCACTATTTCAGTTCCATTTTCATCATAAGCGAGGTGGCCATTTATGTGCGGGCCTGTTACTGAACTCTTTATGTTGTTCTGTTGACATGTCCATTGTTGTGCCAATATCACACCGTCATAACTGCTGTGGCTTTACAGTAAGTCTTGACATTCAGGGTAAGCCCTTCCATTTCAAGACAGTCTTTGCAGTCTCACTCTGATCCTTTGCATTTCCATATTATAATGTAGAATGTTTATTTTTACCAAAACATTGTAGGGATTATAACCGGGAGTGCACTGAATCTATAGATCAATTTGAGAAGAACTGGCATTTTTACAACAATGAGTATTCCAATCTATCAAT